TACTCCCAACCAAAACCTCCACCCATCCCTACATGAAATACCCTTCCGCTCAACCGCACCACTCCGCATCCCATACGAACTGGGGTATTTCATCGTCCAACTCCATTCTCATACAGCCACAAAAATAAATAAATAAATAAATAAAATACACAATCACCGGCGTCTCAGCTCCCACAAACTCCTCAAACCCACCCTCCCCTTCCCACAAAACCCGCGCCCTGCCCTACCTCGAAGCCACCCGTGCATGATGGCTCGGCACACGCCGTCGGCTGCATGCAGTATGATCCAGAGCTCTTCCCATCCCGTGAATCGTGCCCAATCGATTTCACCAGAGTAGGGCTCACCGCACACTTCAGAGAAAGATCGAAATCCGAAAGCATGATGTGCCCGTCCTCCCGCACCAACACATTCTCAGGTTTCAAATCTCGATACACCACTCCCATCATGTGCAGGTATTCCAGCGCCAGAAGCACCTCCGCGGCATAGAATCTGCACCACCCACACCACATTCAGCTTACACCGCCACCCACCCCTGCTCCAAAATCAACCACACCTCACCCACAACCCTGCCACTCATACCGCTGTCAACCACAACCTGCCACACTTCTTGCACCATCAATCTCAACGCTGCGTCCCCGCCTAATGCCACCTCCAAATGCCCCCACTGCCCCAACAAAAACGCTACCTACCTTGCTGCCTGCTCCGTGAAGTGCTTCCCTGGTTGCCGCTGCCGTAAAGTATGCAGGTCTCCACCGGAGCAGAACTCCATCACCAGACACAGAAACTTCTCGCTCTCGAAGTGCGTGTACAGTGTAGGCAAGAACGGATGGTCCAAAGACTGCAGAATCTCCCTCTCCGTCTGAGCTCGCAAAAGCTTTTTGCGGCTCGCAAGCGATCCTTTGTCCATCACCTACATTCAAACGAAACTACTGCACTCAGATTGCATCATACCCCGGGAATACACAAAACACTTCGTGCACGTACCAAGCCCTCTCCCAGGTGTCCAACCACATCCCACACTCTGTCCCTGCTCCTCCCTCCCCTACAATCTGATCAGTGCGAGTACAATCTAATCGATCCATCCGTCACAAGAAACGGCTCACTCGTGGCAACACGCAAACACCAACTTTGAGCTTCACGAAACACGCCGTTCACGAGGTTGCCAACGCAACAACCATTCACCAAAAGTCTGCTGGGTTGAACACCAATCCACCCAGTCCAACCCAGTGACACCGATTACGACTGTCATAATTCCTGTCGCCCACTTCTCATGCCACAACTAACCATCTTCGTGCTCCACCACCATTTCCACTCACCAAAACCGTTTACCACAACCCTAGCCTGACTGCCACTTCCACTTCACTACCCACCGCTCTCGGTTCCTGCATGTCCGTTCATACACACCGGGCAGCGCCAAGTAGCCCTCTCTAAATATGACTACTGTACCACGCTCTGCTCGACCCCCACAACACCGGCACAATGCACACCATCTCGGATGCCAAGCACCGACGTCGCGAATGTCACGACTCCGTATCTTCCACAACCGTAACTTGCAAACCGAACCATTACCTTCATTGCAAAGTGACTGTGGCTGCCACGAAGCTCAGCGAGGTACACGCTCCCGATATCGCCGCACCCCAACCTCTTCAACAGCTTGAAATGTGACAATCCCAGGGCCCCGTCTCTCACTCGAATTGCCTGAATCCCTTCCCACCTGCAAACGTCCACAACCGTTACCATCCACTGCTGACCGCTACCTTGCGACGAAATCTCATGGACATTCCCACTCTTCACCCGCTGATCCGACCATTCAAAATGGGCGCTAGCCCAACAACACCACCTCACAACGTAACCCCGACTCCGCTCTTGCGCAATTCGCACACACGCACACAGTGCCACCAACAACAATCACCTCTTGTCGTTTGCTTTGTGAGGCTTGCTGGCACCGTAACCAATGCTGCTGCAAGAGCTCTCGTTCGAATCGCTCCCAGCACTTGCCCGACTCATGCTCAACTTCCCGCTGTTCCGCGCAGACTCCGTCTCCCTCGCCGAGTCCACCCTGCTGTTCCGTTTGCCGCTTTCGGCGACTTCGTTGTTCGTCTGCTTCCCTGTGCCCCTTTCGCTCTCTTTACAAGACTGAGCTCTCGTGGCCTTTTCGGACGCATGCTCGTCCCCTGCATCATTTCCTCCCCGCTGTGCATCCAAACCATTGCTCAATTTCGGGGCACCAGAGGAATCCCCGGTCATACTTCCACTGTGGCTCCTTGCGGGGAGCTTGGAGCCCTTGCCCTCTTCTACCACCCCTGCCTGCTTCGCACGTGCTCCAATTCTCGACTCCGACTCCCGATCACCGCTTGCTTCTGTTTCTGCACCTCCCTTCTCTCGGTCCCCCACGCTCTCTCGGTCCTGCGAGCTCCCGTACGTGCTGCCGCTCACGCTCGACTTGAACGACGACGAAGACAGATCAATCGACGACCCTGGACTCCGAGTAAACGGACTCCCACTGTCTGCCCCGCTGCCTTTCCCCAGCACCTCTCTTCCCACGCCACTCCCGCCTGCAATGCTAGACAGTGCTGAACAATTCAGGGGAGATGAGGGCATCGATGATGAACATGTCACATACGAGCTCTTGTTCGTCTCAGGGGACGTCAAATCCTCACCCCTCCCCGACGTCCTCTCGCCGCTCGGAGCAGCTGCACGACTATCCTGCTTCTTCTTCTTCGACTTCTCTAGCGAGCACTTCTCGTGGCCCCCTCCTTTCTCTGAGATCATCTTCCCCTCTTCATGGTCTGCTCCAGCCACCATCCTCCACTACTATCCTCCCGCCGTCACCCAAGAATGCTTCCTGCGCACTCCAAATCTCATCGCAGGGCCATTTCCCTACCCTGGCAGCGGGAAAAATCCCCGCCCAACCCCTCCAAATGTCTTCTTTCTCCACTTCCACTGCCTTCCCCTGCACCTCTTCCACAATCACGTCCACGGATCCGGGTTTGCATAAGGAACCTCCCAAGGCGCTCCGTCTCCCACTCCTCCTCACATGCCCACGCCTACGCACGCCCTCCACACCACCACGACAGAGCCGTCCAGGAAAACACTACAGCGCCCACATTCTCGCCGACTCGAAATGGCCAAAACCGGCGTAGCTCAGACGCCACCACGCTCAACAACAACTCCAACCAACTTCCCAAACCGGGAAACCGCCTCAACGCTCCGGCACCGATTAACGCCCCGCCGTGAAGTAGAACACACTCTTACACCATCTCGGCGACACCTAACAAAGACGAAACCACTTCCGGCGCACCCAACCACGCAATCTCCAGCCAGCTTCAGCTACCAACGCTCCGCATTGGACCTCGGACCACAGCACCCGCACTCCGCAGGCGCCAAGCTACAGCGTCGTCACCGTGATACCTTCACGCGAAGCGCCACAAACACTGCGTCAGTCCAGCACGAATGCGCGCGCACACGCACCAAGCTCTCCCGCAAAGCCCCTCGCAGCAGCAGCAGCAGCAGCAGCAGCAGCTTCTTCTTCTCCTTCTTCACCCCAACACAACCGTATCCCGCACCAAATGCCTCGTCGCAACACCATCCCGGAGCTCCAGCATTCTGTCGACGTCCGCCCGATCGAGGCGCTGCCGTATCAACGCACCACCATGGTCAAGGCGCGCACTTCCTCGCTCCGTCGCTCTCTCAGGCTCGATAAAATAATAAAAATAGAAAAACAAGATCATGCACTGCTTTGCTTTTAGATGAAGAGAAGGTGCTGAGCACTTGGGTCTTGAATCGTGCTCGGGGAATGCGGACTTAGCTATCTAAACGACACCGACATCGACTTGCTGGTGCGTAGATGTGGTGGTCGTTCTCGTAGACTTTCTCCGTGGCTTGATCAAGTGTTTGAGGTGGGGTTGCTCCTCTCAGATCTAGGAAGTATTGTTTGGGCTCTCTTTCTCATGATCTCCGGGTTGGAAGCGAATCACAACATGCGTTTATTCTGGCGTGCGACAGATTTGTTGGGGATCCTTGGTCTTGGGTGAAGAGGCTTGGGTTGTGGATGTGGGGTGCGCTCGCTTTCACTCTCTCTGATTTCGCAGCGACTCCCGCTTCTCCGAATAACAAGAATAATACTCCGAGAATATATTCCATGCTGTGGTGTGGGGTAGTCGTCCTCGCCGCCTGTCTGACTGAATTCCTTCTCCGTCCCTCTTTGCTTCCTCAATTCCTTGCCTTCAGGGTGATTGTCAGTTTTTTACAAGCGGTGTGCATCCGGGCTGGGGAAAGTTTTCACATCTCCTGCTGCCCGGATGCTGCAGAGGAGGATGCACGGAAGCGTGGAATGAGGAGGGTGAGAACGCCGTGAGAGATGGCTTTTGGGCTTTGTTTGTGTGGATAGTAGTGTTACTTGGCACCGTGAGAGGGGCTATGGCGTAAGTATGCTTTGGTGGGTGGCGCTGCTTGTTGCTGTAAAGCATTCCTTCTCTCGTTTGTCTTTTTGGTTTTCTCACTATCTCGTTGTGTGGTGTGAGTTAGGCTTTGGCGTTCAGGTCCTCGGAGGTCACACGACCTGGGACGTTTCTAGGTAATTTTTTTTTATTATGGTGGGCATTGAAGGCGGTGGGAATGACACTTCGTGTTTTGTGGCTGGGGACCTCGGTCAGCTCTCCCTCTCTGACTTGCACTTCTTTCGAGTTTTTCTCCGTCTTTTTTTCACCTGTTTTTTTCTTACGTATGTGGTAACATTTGTTGAAGTTTTGGTTGTAATATAAACTGATTTTGGAAGTTTTCTGGGCATGAAACAGTGAGGGAATTTTTCAATGTTTGATGCGTGAGTTTTTTTTAATCCCTTCCCGACAAACTTTTTATTTTTCGTTAAAATTACAGGATTTTTTTGTTAGTGAATGTAGCTAATGTGTTATATGGAACACTTGTTCGAATCATGTGAATGTTGTTTACTGTAACAGCTTTTCGAGTGAAGTGAAGCCACAATATGTTGTATTTCATGAACATTATTTCTTACATACCTTAGTGAATGAATAATCCACGTAATGAGAGTAATTTCAGTGTATTTGTACGTGTGAGTATGACTGTGAACTAACTATTGAAATCTCATAGACATTACTGAAAGTGTGCTTGAAATGATTTGAAGATGTGGAAAATGGATTGCACAAAGTGATAAACTTAGTTAAGTTAATTTCATTTAATGGAGGCCACTTTTAATTTCTAGCTTTTACACGATACACGTTGCTAAATCTTGAATGATTTTAAAATTGACCAGCACGTCATTTATGATAGTATGAGTATAAATTACTGGATAAGTCAATGTGTTACAGGTTTCTACAAAAGGGATAATGAAAAAGATCTCTATATTTAAAGTTTTCATCAAGGAGAATTTAATTTCTTAGGTGTCAGATTCTTGATTATTTTGGTGTTTTCCAGCTCATCACAAAAAATGTGGAAACAAGATATGTTTGCTTCTGTTCGTATATTCTGGTGGAAGATGAGATTTGTCTAGAAACCCTTGAACCAATTCAAAAAATAATGTGGATTGTTGGTGTTGAGCTCAGTGTTTTTAACCACTTTTAACAGCCGTTTCTTGTCAAGATCACATATTCAAACAGTTGACGAATGGTTATATGAGTTTCATGCTCCCATTTATAATATATATGTGATCAACATTGTTGATTGTGCTCAAAATCTGAATTTCAATGTCCAACATCTAAGCTGAATAACTATATTATTTTATACATGTACACACATACATACATATAGATTGTTTGCACTTTGGATTTTTTTAGTTCCTATCAAGTAATCTTTATTGAATTGTTTTACAATGATTTTTTTGTTTTGTTTTAGTTTTGTTTTAGTTTTGTTTTGTTTTGTTTTTTTTTTTTTTTTTTGAAACAAATGAATGAACTTCATTGCGAGAAAGAATCATAATATAATAAGTTGAGCCACAAGTAGCATAGGTGGAGACCAAAAGACAAGTGTGGTAACATAGCTACTGACATAATACTTGACTAATTGATTCCACAGACAATAGATTGAATTGACTCTGGGCAACTTGTTGTGAAGTCATTGATGTTCACTTGGATGTGAGTGCCCAATTCTAGCATACGAATGCTAAAACACAAATCTTCTTATAGGCCCTACAAGCAACCATTCAGGGTTGTCATTAAAGATGGATGAATAGAGTTCTTCACAATACCACCTTTCCATGAAGTGCCTAACAAGTTTGGATCCTACCTTTGGCAATGTTTTCTTAGTTTTTATGGTGATGGACCATTCTATCGTTTTGTAATCAATTAATCTTAACAAGATGTATTGGAATAATTTCTCTGATGGCTAAAATATACTAATAAATATTACGTCATTCTTTTCTTTTCAAACTAACAAAAACACCATTGACCAAATTTGTGACCACATAGAGCTAAATTGGTCAATTTTTTGAGGAATGTGGTTGAAAAAAAAGCCCATGTTGCCATAGTAGAAGTTATCATAGTTCCATTGCATATGAGCCGTAGGTAAGTAAATAAAGAATATGAATGTTCCATTACCTTGTTTATTGGATAGAAGAATACTTCCAAAAATGGTAGGTGATTGACTCAATAGGCTTCTAAATATAGATTAGGTAATAGAAGGCAACTATATACTTAATTTGTCCCTACAATGCTTTGATTTTAATTACATGATGCTACAATAATCATAACAAACTTGCTTCTTTGTTGGTGCAAGTTTTATTTTAGACAGTCTTAAAAAAACATAAATAGTAGTTACCTAAGAAGATATCAAGGACATGAATCTTGAAGAACCAAAAACTTAATATACTCTTGTGTAATTCAAAAAGAATAGATATTCATTCAAAACTAATATAGGATTGAAATTAGAATAGCTATTACCAAAGACAAAAAGACTAAAAAATCTTGAAACAAGACTAAAGATTGAAAAGGTGTTGACAAGAGTAAAGAAGGCTTTCTTTTTGCATATACTATCTAACTAAAATCTATGTGGTGATGTTCTATAGGACTTTTAACATGTGTCCAATTTGTGAGATACATATCTAACTTAAAAGACAAGTTTCTTATATATATACTATGTAGTTAGCTTGTTTGACAAGCTACTAGCACATGTGGCATGTGGCTAACTTGTTGCTCAAGTTTTTAACCTACCAATCAATTATAAATATGTTTAAAGTCAAATATGAATCTATAAAGCTTTGCCATAAGATAATATCAAATCTGTCAACATTTATCCTTTATCTAACACTTTTTATCTAAATAAATATATATGTTTATGACAAAAAATCTTTGGTTACTTTGTTTTGATAAGTTTGGAAATAATGTGCCTACCTTTAGAATTTTTCTATTGATCTTTACTGAGTATGCTAGGAATAAACCAGACTAAAGTGGAATGCCAATTAAAATTTATTTTGATCTCAATCCAATGAATCAACTCAAATATTAAACAACTAAAAAGGATTCATTTTCAAAGTGTATTTGACTTTGATGATTCTTATCTGATGGTGAAATCTCAAAATTATTACTACTTTAACATGGATTTCTACTTATAGGCAGCTTGAGGTAGATGGAATTAAAAATAATAATAATAATAATAATAATAATTGATGAAAGAAGAGAGTTACTTTAATTCTCAAGCAATCAATGTATCCATTCAATGTTGTATTATGTGTATTCTTGCTTGAAAATATATTGGATACCTAAATGTCGAAAGTAAGTAGAAATGCAATAATAAGATCCTATTAAGTCAAATAGAGTTTTAGATAAATTTTAAATAATAAATCTTAAAGAAATAACAATAATCTTAAAAAAAATATCAGAAATAGAAACTTTTAAAGATTCTTCAGACCTCAATATGTTTGAGCTTCAATAAACTTTGAACAAATTGTTATATGAAGTTTAAATTTGCAACAAAGATTATGCACAAAAATAACCATATAATTCCAAACGTGACTTGTAAATCATCTATAAATCTCAATAATTGTCTAAAGTATTAATTCTTTAAATTTTTCAAAATTCAAAGTCAATTAACAATAATCCTAACTTTACAAAGCCTTTACAAAGTTGTTATACATTCATATCACTTAAGAGTGATGTTCAAAGAACCTCTCTTTTGTCTACTTTCAAATCTCATTTTTTAATAAACTAGTGAATCTTAAAGTCACTATAGATATGCAATTTTGTGCTTTGAAATTTGATTTGGACTTTAATTCACAATTGGTCCTTTTTAGGTATCATTTCTTTATATTTTGAGGTAACTTTTACTAAAACCTATTATCAATCTTTTCTTAAATATAACTATATTAATAAATTATTTTATTTATTTTTATTTGACTCATTTATGCTCCTACAAATTAATAAAAATCTCTTCTATAAGACATCATTAAAACTAAAGTTTTAATCACCTTCCTATTATTTATTTTTATTTTTTATTATATCTTTCTATTAAATTCTTTTATAATATCATCCATATTTTTATTTTTCACCATAATTATGTTATCATATGACATTGGTTGAGGTTGCTACACCACTCCTATTAGTATGTTGAGATTTTAAATATACATCCAATCCATTCTCCTTAATTTGTTGGGGGAGACGAATGTAAGAAAAAGACTCTTCAATCACTAATTAGTCCTCCTGCAATAGTATTTCATGCTCTAAATTTTTTTTCTTTCAAACCAAAGTTAATTATAGCCACTTAAGTTGGAATAAAACTCCCATTGAGCTACATATCTTTCATACAATAAAGTCATGTCCTATATAGTTAGGAAGTACAAAGCTTAAAAAAACCTGCATCAATAAGTGAATAAGATGAAGACTACCAAATAGGCTCAATATTTACTTCTTTAGCTCATTTTGGGCTCATAAAATATACTTCATTTATTAGATGCCACCAAGAAGCACCCATATAGGACCAAATTGTTGATCCCTTATTTTCTTAGAATTTATAGAAAGTAAAGAATTTCATAATGGAGTTTCATTTTCCACAAGAACAAGGTTGAATTTTTTTCAAAAAAAACCTCAATAATACATGTAAGTTGTATATTCTAGATTCACAAGCCTTAATAATTCATTCTGTCATGAAGGCTATAAAGACATTTATAGAATTAATCATACATATGTCATCTTGCTCTATCGGTTGGCAATACTATAGCCAAAAGACTTTAATACACATTCTTTGTAAGATATTAGATCACATATAATTCAGAATTAATGTTTTAATTTTTGCCATTTTTTTATTTTTTGCCTCTTCATATAGTAGCAAAAAAGAATGTGGAAGATAAAAAGATTTTTTTTTTAGCAATTATAATTTTATTTATGATTTTTACCTTTAATGTGCTCCAATGTTTGAATTTTTTGTCAATTTTGGCTTTCAAAAATTTATCCACAGTCAAGAAAGACATCTTCATATCAAAAGGAATTTTGAGCAACTTATTAATACTTCCATTGTCAATACAACTAAACTCTAGTGAATTTGTTTAAGCAAAACAAGGATTTTTAGCTTGCCAATATCTGAAATGCTTAAACCAATTAAAAACTAAGTCAAAACTTGAGCAAAAAATTTTGAGCACTTAGAAGAACTCTCTCATCAAGTTCTCTATTTCTTATATATGAAGGAAGTATCATCTGCAAATTAAGCAATGACTTATTATCTATTATCAATTGAAATATTAATTCTTTGTACTAGTCCAAAATCCATCTTGATTTTTATGATGAAATTATATATTTCAATAATTATAAGAAAAAAATAAGGGACTAATAGACAACCTTGATAGATCCTCTCTAGCAATTTCAAATAATAGAGTTTTAGAGCCATTTATTTTGAAATTTATAATTACATATTTAAATAATAACTTAGTCATATTCACAAATTCTAGAGGAAATCCAAACTTCAACATGGCTTGGAATAAGAATGCCTAGTTCATTGTAGCTTGGAATAAGAAATCCACTTTGAAGAAGATGAGGAGTTGTTTTACATGCTTTGCCCACTTTTTTGTATCACAGATAAGGAGAATATTATCAAGTGTAAACTGTATGGACAAAGAAGTTGATTGATCAAAAGAAATTATCTCGATTAAGATTGGTCGTAGTCTAATTTATAGCACCTTTGTATACAACATGTAAGCTACATTGATGAGAATAATAGGGCGCCAATTTGTTAATTGAATACAAATGTTATTCTTGAATAGAAATGCAATGATATCTCTTATAACTCCTATTAGGAGTTGATTTTTTTTAACAACCTTTAAAATCATAATAAAGTAATCATCCTTAATAACCTCTCAAAATAATTTATAAATTCAATTATGATTCTATCTGGGTCATGGACTTTTTTGAAT